GCCGTGCAATGCATTGTGGACCTCGGGCTCACACCTAAAAAGCGGAGCAGGTGAATGAAAAAGAGGGTCAGATTTCGGTCTGGGTGGGGGGCACAGGGGGGGGTCATCTTGCTCTCTCTCATTGCCTCACCGGAAGGAACCGGGGACTCTGCGATGAGGAGGGAAGGCTGCCAGGTGTACTGCGTCTTCGGGCAAGGACGCTCCGGTTCCTCCGGGGTGCCGGTAAGACCCCCCCACACCCCCCCCCACCCCGACTATTTACTCATAATCAAGCCCACCTTAAACTGAGTCTCCCATAGAAGGAAGAGGGCGTCCTGAAGGAGCCTTCCCAGCTTCCAAGATCACCGACAAAGACTGAAGAGGAGCCGGGTCCGCCACCCGAATTTGGTTGCCGCAGAAGATGGGCGTTTGGACTGGTGCCAGTTTTATCGTGTGTCGCCGCCATGGCTTTAGCCGCCCGCTATTTGACATGTGAGTCACGCTTTGCTTTGTGAATGCACCTCATCATAAAAGAGAGACTTGAAGGTGCTGATATCTAAATTTTGAAAACTTTGCCTTTCTGAAGCCCGCTAGCTTAATGCTCACGCAAAAGAAATGCCGAACAACCAGCATTGGTGTCGCTGCGTCATAAACGCGTTACATTAACATATTAATATGTCAGACAAAGATGATGACATTCAAATAAATATATATTTTTTTGAAAAATCAGCACAATATTGGCAGATTTTTTTTTGCTGATGTTTCTCTCTCTCATAAAGTTAAACAAAGACTAAAAAGGACGAAGTATTGCAAAGCAGTCAAATGTTCTGCACGTAATATCGTTGTTTGCATTAAGGGACAAAAAAAAAAAGATTTTAGTTCCAGTATTTTTTTTTTTTAAATTTATTGGCAGATTAAATGGTTATTGGAATTTTACCCCACCAAAAATTGGAATCCGCGCAGGCCTACTGTTTAAAAAAAAATCAGTCAAAATCAGTCAAAAATCAGTCAGTTGGGCCCTAAAAAGGTCTAACTCTCCAAGCAACTTTGAACGCAAAACAGGACATGTAGACAGATGCCAATACTCGCAGGCATGTATTCTTTATCCTCTGGCAAGATTTATTTCTATTACTGCAGCTTACTGAGGAGCTGCGACCTTTTCCATTCATTCCAATTGGAGCAAATGAGCTAAAATAATAAAATGCGAGATGTCAGTTGAACACATTTGAATCATCATTCATCAGTAAAACATCAGTTGTTTCATTGCTGTATATTTTTATAAGATACAATATCATCGTCTGCTATTTTTTTTCTCTTCAAAAACACATTTTTACAAATTTAGGCAGACTCACAATTTTGTTTTTCATAGCAAGAGATTACTCTAAATGTTTGTTTTTTTTCTTTCTGCTTCCTTTCCTCAGCGGCCCCGCCCTCCTCCGTGTTCTTCCTGGGCTGCAGCGTGGAGTTTCCCAACTTGAGCTTCTCCGCAGAACTCGCCGACGGTTCCTCGCCGCCGTTTCACCTGCGGGCGCGCTCTTTAAAGCCTTACGTGAGTGACTCTTTGCCCCCCATGCTCGCTTGACTATTCCCTTTTCCTTGTCTCGCTTCTTCCTCTTTGGCCTTGCTGTTCAATGTAAAGCTGAAACAGGAGCTTTTGTACGTGTGTGTGTGTGTGTGTGTGTGTGTGTGTGTGTGTGTGTGTGTGTGTGTGTGTGTGTGTGTGAGAGTGTCCAAGGGGGGTCTCAAGAGTCCTCAGGGATCAGACTCTTTTCAGTGTTGAGGACAAACCCGCCATAGTGAGAGGAAGAGCAAAAGACTTCAATACAAACGTTGTCTGTGTGCGACACACACACACACACACACACACACACAGTGAAAGGGGCGTCCTGACCATAATATTAGGAACAGCGAACAGCTCTCACCGTCACCTGCCGAACTAAATAACTTTGCAATGGAGGCTTGTGGAAAAACCAAAAACCAATCTGTCCAATTTTTTATATGATATTCTGGAATGTAATTTTCAGTTCTCCGAACTCTACAAGTCCTCCCCGTGGAGCTCTTACTACCTACGCTCAGGGATTGCTGCCTTCAGGTGCGCTGCCGCAAAAGTATTGGGACACCTGAGCGTAATGACGCAAATAAAGAATGCTTTGTGTGTGTGTGTGTGTGTGTCAGTGAAGGCACAGAAGGCCTCAACGTGTTCTACTGGAGTCAATTCTCTGCCCCGGGCCACATCGCCACGGCGATACAGCATTCCAGCCCGGAGAGGCTGCAGCGCTTGCTGCCGGGCAGCAGCAAAGTTGTGCGGGATGGACGACGCGAGCAGCGGTACTACTTGAAGCAAGACGACGTCACGCTACACCTTCTGGGTAATGTCGCTTGAAATCGTTCGTGTCAAATCAAATCAAGCCACTGAGTTTTTTTTTTTTAATTTCAATGGACCTCGATCGAGATGAATTCGCCAGAGTCAAAAATTCACCAGTCAGGTCAAAAATGGAATTACAACGAACCATTCTGAGTCACTTACACGATGACACAATTGGCCCAAAACATGTTTTCCAACTGCGTTTTAAAAACGCACAACCATCCTTTGAAGGTCACCGTTATGGTGTTTTGCGTCCGCCCATGTGGGACATCAAGTCATATCTCAAATGAAATCCCTTGATGACGTTTTTTTTTTTTTTTTTAATATATGGAACTATTTTCGTCAAAATCTGCTTGACGCAGTGGCGCAAAAACAAATTCTCCCAAAACTCACAAATCGGCACACTCTCCCTTGAAATTGTCATTTGTCTTCTGCTTATTTGACATCATCAAGTCATATCTCGAATGAATTCCCTTTGGTGAGGACTTTTTCAGTGGTGTCATTATTTTGCCTCCACGCCCAAGTAAGGTGCAAATTTTTTGTTGCTTTGGGAATGTGAAAAATCGGTTTGCAACAAATCTCATGAAGTCATATTTTCAAGCTTTCAAAATCTCTTTTCAATTATTTGACATCAATGTGTCCCAAAAATCTCACAAATCAGTTTTGACACCGCTGTGCAGGTTTGGATCCCGATGACTGGGAAGAAAAGTCCGATAAATTTAAGAATCCAACCGGCCTCCAGAGCGGAAAGTGGCAGTTCGGCTTCCAAGGTAAAAGGCTTCCACTTCGAAAATGTAAAACAAATCAAAGCTCATAGTTGCTCCTGGCTTCTTGTCTGCAGCGGTGTCTTTCGACCTGTACGCTAAACACGGCGTGAACCGCACCCTGGTTCTGGTGAGTCCCAAGAAACTCTACTACCAGTGGCGCCTCCGTGTGCCGTCGGGTCACGCGGTCCGCCTGGTGGTCCTCGCGTTTCACGGCGGTACTGCCGCCGCCGCGCCGAGCTGCAGCGCTCACATGATGTCCGCCTACGACTTCCTGCTTCCTTTGCAGAATAAGATCATCGCCAGGTACGCTCTCTCACCTGTTGGAGTTTGATTTCTTCCCACCATTTTTTTTTTTTTTTTTTGTGGCCGCAGGTGGTGCGGGCCCCACGCGACGCCGGTCTCCTCGCCCGCCACGAGGCTGACGTCCTCGGGGAACGTCATGCTGCTCACCTTCTCCTTCAGCCGGCAGAGGGAGGGAGCCGTCTTCAAAGCGTACTTCCAGGCGGTCCCCAAGGCAGGTTCGTATCCAAGAATCGAATCAAACCGCATCGAATAGAAGGTGCCTGAGAATAGTTGCGCTTCATATGAATTGTATTGTGGCGAATATTCACACGTTCTGAACGCACGATGGGTTTGTTGCGGCTTGTGGGTTTTGTTCTATTTAGGTTGTGGAGGATCACTGTTCTCTTGGAATGGCTCCGTTTCCTCACCGTACCATCCCTATCACTACCCTCCTAACATAGACTGCAGGTGGACACTCCGGGTGAGTCGTAACTGTCTGCGTCGGCGAGAATTTGTCCTTTTTTTTTTTTGAATGACTGTGTCATCCTTTTTTTTTTTTGTCATTGAAACGATTCGCACTCAGGCACCGTTGCCCGGGTACCTGATCGCCGTGACGATTGTGACCCTGGACATCCAGCAGTCGTCGGATGGCTGCGAGAAGGACTGGCTGGACGTCGGCGGCGTCAAGTGAGTCGTGACGGGACTGCGGCAGATAATTTGTGAAAATGATTATTATTATTTATTTATTTATTTTTAATCCTCATTCACTCCCGAAGACGTTTTTAAACGTCTTTTCAAACTTGGTCTAGAATTGGCTGGTACTGAATGAGTTAAATGACGAACTGCCACACCTCAAGGTTTAAAAACCGTTTAAAATTAAAAATGAACAAATCCCTGAAAACGTCTATGAAAGAAACATTTATTCATGAGTGCAATGTGGAAGCAACAAGGAAAATGAGAAATGTGCCACCACTTGAACAAAGAAAGAACTTTGTTAATCATTTTTAATATAGAGGAATAATAAATAACTCGTATTTAAAATGTATTTATGTTGAACATATGAAAAAGTATTTTGAAACTGCAGCATTAAATCATAAAAATAACATTCAATTAAAAAATATGTTCCTTCATTTTTTTCACGTATTTAATGTAATCGATTAATAAATAAGTGTGTGTGTGTGTGTGTGTGTGTGTGTGTGTGTGTGTGTGTGTGTGTGTGTGTGTGTGTGTGTGTGTAAAGGTAAATGACTAAATATGTACCATTTATGATTTCTTTTAACTTCTCAAACTGGCACATTCGCCGCGACATTGAACAGGCAGGATCAATGCAAATGATCATGTGACTCTTGTCTCCTCTCTTATTGGTCCAGATTGTGCAACCAGGTATCGGACAACGGCAGAAGTCGGGTCTACTCGTCACCCCTCTCCATCCACTTCCACTCAGACGAAGCCGTGACTCACCGGGGTTTCTATCTGCGCCACCGGGCCTTCTGGCCGCAGGGCTGTAAGTCGCCGTCCCGCCGCAGCTCATTTAAAGGCACAGCATCCCTTTAAATTAACAGTTCTCTGTACGCTTAGCCTGCCCGCCGCGTCACTTCAGCTGCAGCGACGGCCGCTGCATCCCTTTGAGGAGAGTGTGCGACGGCGTCAGGGACTGCGAGGACGGACGCGACGAGGCCAAATGCTGTAAGTGATCATCAACTATCAAACTGTCCACTGTCGTCTCAGCGTTGTCGTTTGCGCCCAGCGTCGTGCAGGCCCGGCCAGGTGTTGTGTGCTAATGGCCAGTGTCACGCTCAAAGCAGCCAGTGTGGCGTCTGCGCAGACAGCAACGAAGAGAGTGGCTGCAGTGAGTCCACACACGCACACACACACACACACAGTTGAACCTTTTTGATCATTTCCTATGTCGGCAGGAAGTAAATGTTACCACACGTGTCCCAACAAATTGTGCCTGCCCAAGTCTTCAGTGTGCGACGGCGTTGTGGACTGTCAAGACAGCAGCGATGAGATGAACTGCACCAGAGCATGTGAGCATTTGGGAAAGAATCATCATTTTCTCCCGCCGTTGGATTTCTGGGTGTCTTTGTCCCTTCCCGCAGACGTCAAAGCTTGCTCGTCGTCATCCTTGTACAAATGCGCCAACGGAAAGTGCGTGACGAAGCTCAACCCCGAGTGTGACGGATTCAAAGACTGCCAGGACGGGTCTGATGAGCTGCGGTGTGGTAAGTGACAGATGATTTTGATGCTTTCATTTTTTTACTTTTTTTTCTATGCAAATTTTTGATCAGCATTATTGAAAGCATTGCAGTAAATACTGGTTGAAATATTTATATTTTTAAGATCGTAGAGATGTATGGTTTATAGATTTTAGATTTCATTTGATTTCTTTTTCTTTTATTTTTTTGTTTTATATATTCCTATTTTTGTTGTTTTCATAAAATTTTATTCTTGATTTTGTTTTTTGCTGATTATTATTTTTCCTTTTTTTTGCTTTGTTTTATTTGTATTTGTTTATTTGTATTTATTTTACATTTAATTCAATGTACTTTAAATTTCATTTTTAATTTTATTTCATTTTAATTTACTTTTTTTGTTTTTAATTTTTGTAGTATCTTTTTGCTTTATTTAAATTTATTCTCTTCTAATTATTTACTTATTTACGGCCATTTGGGGGCACTGCAGCACACATTGAATCTTGACTTCAACCTTGGTTCTGCAATGAAATGTTAAAATCTTTTTTTGTGTGTGTGGGGGGGGGGGGGCGATCCAAAGCAACGATTCCTTTTGCAAAATGAACATGTACGACTACATCTGCACTGGTTTTCCCAAAAGGTTGCGGCGTCCGGCCCCGAAAGAGGCCCAAGATCGTCGGGGGCACCGACGCATCTCCGGGCTCGTGGCCGTGGCAGGTGAGCCTCCAGATGGAACGTTACGGCCACATCTGCGGCGCCACCTTGCTCGCCACACGCTGGCTCGTCTCGGCGGCGCACTGCTTCCAGGACTCGGACTCCATCAAGTAAGCACAAATATAAATCTAAGAATAGAAGAAGAAATAATTGCATATCCTTACTTTGTATGGAGATATTCCGATCCACGCTCGTGGCGAGCCTACATGGGGACGCGCTTGATGGCGGCGGGAAAGAGCGCCGTGTCTGTCGCCAGCAGGCCGGTGCGCCGCATCGTCCCGCACCCAAAATACGAGCAGCTCACATCCGACTACGACATCGCCCTGGTGGAGCTCGCCGCCCCCGTCTTCTTCAACGAGCTGGTGCAGCCCGTGTGCGTGCCGGCACCCTCGCACGCCTTCGCCATCGGGACCAGTTGCTTCGTCACAGGCTGGGGCGTCCTCACGGAGGATGGTACGATTTTTTTTTTTTGGAGCGTGAACCACCCCCGAACCTCCCAAAAAAACAAAACACTCGTATCGTTCCCCATTGGAATGAATGGGAATGCAATTAATCCATTCCAGCCGTCCAGCCATTGCGAGGAAACCGGCGTGAATTGAAATTTGTGTGCGTGTTAATGCCAGGGGAGCTGGCGTCTCGCTTGCAGGAGGCCTCTGTGCGAATCATAAACAGGAACACCTGCAACAAATTTTACGATGACGCCGTCACTCCCAGGATGCTTTGCGCGGGGAACCTGCAGGGCGGGGTGGATGCTTGCCAGGTGAGTTTTATTTGTGAATAATGCAAACGGACACTATTTTTCTATACGTTTAGTTTTTATTTCTTTTAAAATGTACAAATAGGTTTTTTTTTTGTTGTTGTTGTTGTTTTGGGGGGGTGGTTAGTTAGCATGACACTGTATTTCGGTCACCTGATAAGACAAAATGACATTTAAAGTCGTCATGGCGAGATTCTTTTTTTTATTTTTTTTTATTTACCATTGGCATTTTTTGATTTTTTTCGAGCTAATAAAATGCGGATTTAATTTGTGTCTACATTTATCATTTTTAATATTAAAAAAGGTTTTAACATCTAATATTTTTAGACATGAATACGTCTTTTGAAATTGTTTCAAATCTACATTCAACGACAGCACGATTTAGTGATATCGGGTCGAACTCTTGTTCTGAGCACTTCTTTGTACTTGTAGGGTGACTCCGGGGGTCCGCTGGTGTGTCAGGAGCGCAACCGTCGCTGGTTCCTGGCCGGCATCGTGAGCTGGGGCGAAGGCTGCGCCAGGCAGAACCGTCCCGGCGTCTACACGCAAGTGGTCAAATTTGCCGACTGGATCCATCAGCAGACCCGAGGTCAGGCCTGACCCGATGCCAACAAGAACCAGGAAAACACTTTTGGGGGGTCTGTTGCGGATTGAAAAAAAATAAAAAAACTCAAGTCACTAAAATGTGTTTCTTCTTTGCACTGTGGTGATATTAAAGAGAAAGGTAATTCCAAAAAAAACTGAGTCTTCATAAAATCCAACCTTAGGCCTTCTCGTTGAGTTTACAGCGACCTCCAGTGGTCAATTGCTGTCAAATGTTTTTAATTTGCATGTGTGGAAGGCACCATTTCATTCACGGATGTGAGTGATGGAAAACATCAATGTATGAGAGCGTTTCAACTCTAAAAACAGTTTGGTCAAAAATAACCCATATTGGGTCCAAAAAAAAGGGACTGACCCCAAAAACTTGGGTCAAATGAATCGCAACTCAGGTTTTGAGTTGTTCAAAACGATCCAATTTGGGAGTAGTTTCGTAGGTTATTTATTTGACCCAACATTTTGGGTTAAATAAATTCCCAAAACATCTCCAAGGTTGTACATTTGGACTTACTTTTGGCATCAAATGAATAACCCAAAAATTGGGGTCAAGTCCCTTTTTAATCATTTTTAAGTGTACACTCTAAAACCAGTTGCGCCGAAAATAACCCAAATCGGGTCACAAAAGGGACCAACCCAACTTTTTGAGTTACTTATTTAACCCGTGATATTGGATCAAATTAATAAACTCAAAAAACACTTTTTGGTTTGTTTTATTCCAAACAACCCAATTTTTGAGGGTTTAATTTTTCCAAACTACCCCAAATTTTGGTTGACAAACCAGCATTGGGAATTTCTTGTGCTTTATGAATTTTGACCCGACATTTTGAATCAAATGAATAACCCAAGAATTAGGGTTATTCCCTTTCTTATGTGGGTTGCAAATTTCCCCAGTGTGGGACTAATAAAGGTTATCTTATCTTGTGACCCAAATTTTGGTGTCCAATGAATACCCCCCCCCCAAAAAAAAAGTTGGATCGGTCCCTTTTTGACTCACCTTGGGTATATTGTTAACCCAACTGTTTTTTTTGTATGTAAAAGCGTTTGACTCGTGAATGTGAGTGAAGAAAAATCTTGTTTGACAGCGGTTCACCAGAGTGTCTAAAAGTGTTCATGAAAAATGTTTCACTTGCGTGCATGACAGTGTTGAACTAGTCTTTGTGAATGAATGAACATTCTGTCCAGACCGTTGAAATTGTGTGCACGTGAGAGTTTCACTTGGGTCGTGTACGTGAGCGAAAAAAAAAAAAACGTGTGTGTGTTTTTGAGCGCATTTCCCAAGTGTGGATCTGCGTTCCACATGCGAGGTGAAAAGCACAACAATTAAGCGTGCGTACGTGCGAGGCACCTCGTGGATTAAAGATGGGCCCATGCAGCTTGTTATTGAGAGTCAGTCAGTGTGATTTATTCCCCAATTCGGAGTATTCAAGGGAAGCCGGGAGTTGAGTTGAGGGCCGGGTGGGTCCGGGTGGCTGTTACGCGCAAGGTTTGGGTGTGCCGGTACGCGCGCGTCACGGAAGGCCGCCATCCGGTGGCCCCCACTGTGGGAACGCTATAAAGTCCCAACGAGGGCAACGCGTCGCGCAGGAGTGCCTCAAGTCACTTATCTCCCCTTCTGCGTCATCTTCATCCGCATCCAAAGGGATTTAAACGTCTTTCGTTACCGGTCGTTGGACGAACACAATGAACTTTCTGCTCGCGTTTCTGTTTTGTGGATTGTACGCGCTCTTTGCCAAAGGTGAGTCGGCATCATTGGATCGCCTTTTGCAGACTTGCGGCACTTTTACGGCATTATGAAGATTCCGGAGTAGGCCGGGTGGGGCTTGTATTTATGTGATTTGGATTTATTTATTTATTTTTGCCACTTTAAATTTCTTTTTGAAGTGTTGTAATGTTTAAATAGATGTATGTTTTTTAGTTTTATATTGTTTAGATTTTTAAATATGTATTCTAAAGTTTCAATTTTTTTTTTTTGGTGTACATGTTGACGTTTTTCTTTCAGATTTCATCGATCCGAAATATATACATATATATGTTATGTCTTTTAACGATACGTGCATTATTTTTGTCTTAAATGTGATATTTACTTAAAACTCCTTCATGGTCAGCGTTAAAAATTAAGACTTCATTTTGTTCTTGAAATTGTCATTCATCGAGACAATGCATAACGAAACCTTGGATTTTTTTTTTTTTTTTACATTTTTAGCAGTTAAGGATTTTTTTGTGTATTTTCATGACTATTTGCATTTTTGTATTAAAAGTCAAGTATAGTGTAATATATACATATAAAGAAACGCTGAAAATGACTTTGAAAAGGCCATTTTACACTTTGAATTGACTTTTCATTCATCAGTCAAGCTCTGTACATATATGAGAGTGTGCATGAGGGAGCATGTGTCACCCAATGTCAAAGACAAGGAAACGCTATCGGAAGTGTGAGTAAGGCAACTTTGCAGTGAATGAGGCATCCGCGGGGAGCCATTCTGCCGACAATGAACGGCCGCTGCCGTCCGTCACACTGTGCTCGTGTGCGATTGGCTGTTTTTTCCGACCACTTCCTGTTTAGGGTTCTTTTGGTGGGTGGCGCGGGAAGATGCTCGGGGTTGCCCGGTTGCCGCCTGTTTGAAATTATGGGAAATGGTTGTTGCCGCCGCTGCTGCTGCCTGAAATTGTCCTCGTGTCCCGCCAGGTGCAGACGTGGAGGGCAACGGTAAATACGGTGTGCCTGTGCTGGAGGGGACGAAAGGACAGCTCGTCCTGGAGCTCAACCAGACCCTGGAGCTCAGCTGCAGGTCGACGTCATACAGTCGCTTTCGATAAATGCTAACAAATCACATCCGTGGCGACGGCACTAGTTGAACACAACATCTATTTACAGATATTTATCATACTCACTGGTGTATATTTATATCCTCTGGGAAGAGTCTCCGTACATACACGTACCCGTCTGTATTGTACTGCCTATAGATGACCAAGGTGCTCACACCAGAAAGAGGAGCACAATGTTCATTGAATGGAAGCAAAGAACAGGGCGAAAATTACCGTTTGGTTCTTTAAATTGTTCAATTAAGTCACTCCTTACGGTATGGTTTTATCAAGTACAATCCAGTAGTATAGCATTCTATTTTTCTTGAGATGGGTTATTTCAAATCACTTTCCAGACATTTTTGTAAAAACTCGTTTTTCCCAGAGGATGAAGAGTATATGCCATACAAACATATAGACTGTCTCCATGTGTTGCTGGGGGACCTTTTTATATGCTTTCAAATATCCATTTTCTTAAAGGGTTACAGCAAAGTGATGTCCATGCTAATTTTGTTTTCATGTCTAAGGCATTTTTCATTATCTGTTAGCATTAAGCTAGCAGACATTCCCGAGTGTAATTCTCATATGTTAAATTTTACAATCCCCTTCATAATGCAACACATTTTTTTGTAATATTCAGACTTTTTGTCATAGTATCGTGACATTTTCATTCATTTATTCATTTTTTTCCCCACATCTCTTCCATTGTTTTAATGAAATGTTCTGAAATGGGTCAGGTTTAATTTTCGTTTTCTTCTTTTTTGCATGTGCCTCGTCATCCAGAGGTCGCTGGGAGCTGTCGTGGTCTTTCCCGCCCAACCTGCCTCACGACCGGATCCGCGTGGAGGAATCCCGCTGTGGCAAGTCGCAACGGCTGCACTGTAGTCGCGTGACACTGCTGGGTGGTGCCCGGCCACACCACACGGGCTCCTTCCTGTGCCGCTACCGACACAGAGCGGAACGGCAGGCGTCGGTTTACGTGTATGTGGCAGGTAAGAAGACACTTGCGCATTATTTGGGCAGTTTTAGGGGTCACACAAATGCAGCGTCATTTCGTAAGAGTGACAACCGGGGGCGGAGCAAGAGAGTCGCGATAACGCGAGGGCTACTCAATTGTTGCTAACTCAGCGACATTTGGCTACCTTTCCAAACTCTCTCTCTCCTCTTTTTTTTGTTCCTGTCACACTATAATTTAAAAATATCACATTACATGTGACATGTCACGTTTTAATATGATAATTTTCACATTATAATGTGAAAATCCCGTTTTCACATGTTAACCATCACATTTTGCAGGAACATAAGTTTGACTTCCGCATTTGGGAATACAAAACGGAGCAATTCCTTCCAGTTCAGGTCAATGGCAGAGCCCAATGTAGGTGTGTGTGTGTGTGTGTGTGTGTGTGTGTGTGTGTGTGTGTGTGTGTGTGTGTGTGTGTGTGTGTGTGTGTGTGTGTGCCTACTTTTTAAATCAGAGATATACTGTTTTCACAACTATGTGGTATACTGTATTAAACGGCAGAGTCTCAGAAACGCTA